TTTTTTTTTTTCATTTTTGAAATCAGCATTAAATTTCAAGTTAAAAAAGTTTCAATTTTCAATTTTCTGCTAATTATTAACCAAAGTAGTCAGCCATCTTAAGTGCGAAGCTATCAMGATGCCAAGTTTATGTTCTGGACAATGCATGCGCATATACGTTTTTCAGCCTTGTTGCTAGGCAACCTACCTCAGAAACAATGCTCGTAAATGGCCCATCAAAGATGTACTCTGTACATTCATCGCAACATTTTCCACGTTCACACGTCACGTTAACCGTTGCACAATGGAAATTAGGCGTCCCTGTCACAAACACCATAAGACCAAACTGCAGGCCCATAGGAATAAATAGGTAGAATGTCAACCAGTACAAAACGTTCTGATAACAGCCGAACTCCTTGATGTTGTGCTTGAAAACATCGTCAAATTCCGACCTTTCCTTCTCCATCTGTAAACATTTGCTCTTTTTGGGTGAATTCGCCATATTCGTGCCTTGGCTTTGTAGGATGAAATATATATATATATATATGATAAATAAAATCAAGAAAACATAATGAARACATCTTGCTTTTAATGAACGGAAATTTGGGTCCAAAGAATTAATTTTACAAGCACTTCATTTTTCAGGGACGCATCCAGGAGTCTGGGAACCGRGAAAGGAGGGAGGGGGAGGGGGGACGGGCTTCCTGTGTTATGCCGATTCATTTTGTGCAACTGTTGCGTGACTGAAACAAAATGGCGGTCATATTTTGAGAAACGTTATCCTCGTTTTCTCGATGAAAAAGCCACTATGTTCTCCCAGACTTAGACCAGCTTTCCCTTGAGGTCTCTTCTACTTCATATGTGATTCTGTTTTGCGATTAGCAGGTATAAGTCATGAAAATATGCTTTGTTTATTTAATCGATAGTTACGCGTGACAGAGAAGGCACTAAAAAGTTACCTGACACTAGAAATTTATCTAAAGAAAAAACAGTAAGCAGATGTCCACATGTTTGAATATTAKCTATACACCGAATCGAAATATGGCGACCAATTTGAATAACTATTGTTCTGCGCTGACTAGCGACTGACTAGCCTCGTGTTCACGTGGAAACATAAAAGCATTTTCACATGTGTAGGAGGCTAGTCAGTTGCTAGTCAGTGCATAACAATAGTTATTCAAATTGGTCGCCATATTTCGATTCGGTGTATAACAAGATCACGTCACGCAATCACTGCGCGGCGTCCCTTATTTTGTTATGCAAGAAATACTCAAATGCTTTTGCAGCATCTCTTCTAATYATAACTATAGRATACCCCGCCAAAACCTTCCCCAATCCTAACCCTAAACCYGACCACGTCATTTGTACCCCTAGATATAATTAGGGTACAACTATAGAATACTTCGCAAGGAAAAGTATATAGTGGGCTGCCTACGCGCCTAACGCGTTCGTTAATATAGGAATAAACAATCGAGTACCTTGGGGTATAGGTTTAGGGTTAGGATTGGGGAAGGCTTTGTAGGAATAAACAATCGAGTACCTTGGGGTATAGNTTTGTAGGAATAAACAATCGAGTACCTTGGGGTATAGGTTTAGGGTTAGGATTGGGGAAGGCTTTGTAGGAATAAACAATCGAGTACCTTGGGGTTAGGTTTAGGGTTAGGATTGGGGAAGGTTTTGGCGGGATATTTTATAGTTATTCCCCTTTATTTTACAATTCAAGGTTGTCAGTGTTCTGTTCAATTTGCCCACCATACAATATACCCCATTCTCGCGCCATGAAAGACATTCAACTTTTATATTAAAGCTGTTCATTTGAAAAAATYCAAACTAGAACTCAGTAAATGTCTCAATTTTCCCCTCAATTGCCTCCAAGAGGTCGGATGTAGGTCGGTTGGATTATTATGAAAAAGTTCTGCTAGCTACAGTCAAGGGAAATAAGCAATTCAGATGTCAGATGCTCGAAAAAGATAAACGTTATGAACGAATTGATAAAAGAACAACTTACCTTGTCTATAATCAAGTTCTTTTCGTATKAACCAACTGACGAGGACCCTTGGACGCCCCACGGATGTGTCTTATACCACCCTTATCTCGTTAGAGGTCAAAAGCTAGTATAAAGGTCACTTCAGACCCCGGATGTGACGCAGGCTAAGGAATAATGGMACACTCCGCAGGAAACAATATTGTTCAAATTATACCCTTCCCTGCCCTCTCCCTCTCCCTTCGTTCATATTTTACGCAGTAAATATTGACCACAAGTACCAAAGGATCTCATCATCGAAACCTGAGTGTCATTTTTCTTATGCAGAATCTTTACTTTCAAGGAAAAATTATGCGCACCTTGAATCATGAAATATGAATATATTAATTTGTCACTTTATTCATTATTTGCATATCGCAACGACAATTGCACTGAGGCGAATCCAGCTGGTATTAACTCACGCAGATCAAAAGATCAAGCGAAAACTAGAAAAATACTTTGAAATTTCTCTCCGTATGAACTGTATGAAGAGCCCCAGGGGTTCTAAGGGTTCTCTGTGGAGGTTCTGTAGAATAGAATAGAATAGAATAGAATAGAATAGAATACCTTTATTTAAACACGATAAAATTTAAAGCTAAAAGCTTGTGGGGTCGTGCATAAAATAAATTAAATAAATTAGGGGTTGCTGTAGGGGTTCTCTTGATAGATCTCACACATCTTAGTCAGCGTTGCGTGACAAAACTAATAGCGGCGTCAAGTTGAGTAATCATTTGCATATCACAACCACAGTTGCACTGATCAAAAGATCAAGCGAAACTAAAAAAAACACTTTGAAATTTCTCTCTGTATGAAGAGCCCCAAAAATAAATTAAGGATAACAAATCCAACTGTCGCGCAAATTAAACATAATAAAGGAATGTTTTTCTCCCTTGGTGAACTACCTCGTAAATTTAAAATACAGACGCCTTGCTCCGGCATACTCCGCAGCGCCGTCATTACAAGGGTTGATCCACGATCCACCCTRATCCACCCGGTGGAGAACCGCCTCTTATTGATGAAAAAAATAACCAATCACCGCGCGAGAAATTTGTAAGTTATTGTAAAAACTTTATTGTAAGCTCCTGTGTGTCTAGACAATAAATAAGCTTATGCTAGCCCAAACGTGACAAAACTTCAAGTTGCATTTTTTCATGATCAAGCAGTACTTTTTATACATCAAGTTGATTTTCATTACACCAAGACCCTTGTVTTCTATGTCTAGTCATTTGTTTCGCTTGTCTAGTCATTTGTTTTTGATATCAAGCGCAATGTTTAAGTTGACAAGCAGCCATCACAATCACAAGTCACATCACAAGTGTTTTCCTAAATTAGATAAGTTATATTTAGTTACTATTTTAGCTGACCTCACATAAATTTGAAACTACGATTAAACAGCTACTGAGATCAGGGGGAGAAACGATGATACAAATGAATGTCTATTCACTCA